GTCTGTCCCGGTGCAGGCCCCTGGGTCCCGCTAGAAAGGGTGGTGTCGGGGTTCTCGTCTACATGCGGGGCCTTCAGAGACCTGCTCTCCCATTTGTGGGTCCCAGGGAGGCTCTGGGGTCCCCACGTGGGAGGCAGGAGGGGCCCAGGGGACACAGCGTCAGAGTAGGAGGGACTTGCCAACTCCAGCGGGTCCCTGGGCATGGAGGCCGCCCCTCATCACAGCCTGGGGCTCCTGGCCTGCGCGGGGGTCACTGTCACAGCGACCCAGCCACCTCCTCTTCCTGGGGGTCTCGGGCCATCCTAGGGCCTCAGCAGCCGCCTCCCCACCAGGAGCAAGGAACCTGGAGCAACAGCCTGGCCCAAAGCCCGGCCCTTGCCCGCAACCTCCTCTGGGGGAGCCATAGGGTCCCTAAGAGCTGACCCCCCGCATGGCACATGGGGGAGCGGGACCTCCGGTAACCGAAGCCGCCGGGTCAGAGCTGTGAAACGCTGTTCAGATCTGCTGGCGGGGCTCGGGGGCTGGGGTGAGAGGTACCGGGGGTCAGTGTGGATGCGGCGCGGCTGGCAGGGATCACGGTCGGGTGTCCAGCAACTGGACAGGTCAGTGCAGCCCTGGGGCGTCCAGAAGCTGCTGCCAAGGGCCGGACGGCTGGGGAGGAAGCGTTAGGGACCAGCACGTGGGACGCGGCCACGTCTCTGTAAACGTGGACAGAGTGGCCTGGCCCGCACAGCTCGGGGGTTGAACACCCACCTGTGGACCAGGAGGCTCATCATGGATGTCTCTCTCTCTCTCCCTCTCCCTTCCTCTCTGAAATCAATAGAAACGTGTACAGTGGACCGAGTCTGGGAGGGACACCCAAGCGGTTCCCGTGGTTACGCGGGAGGGCAGGCCACCCAGCCATCGCCCGTGTTCCGGGTTTGCAGTTACGGAAATGTTCCCGTGGGAAAAGGAGAGTGCCCTGCCCTGGGCTGTCCCAGCCTCCCCTGCCCAGCACAGGTCAGCACGATCCTCCATCCTCTCACTCCACAGCCGCCTCCTCATCCTTCCAAGCCCAGCCTCCAGCTCCGCCCCCTCCTCCGGGAAGCCCTCCGGCCTCCCTACCCTGCGGGCAGCGTCTGCTCTCCTGCCGGCACCTGCACCTGCGTCAGAGCCATTCACTGTGCTCAAGGGCAGTGTCTCCCCGGGACTGTCTCACAGACCAGAGCCCGGAGAAGCCCAGGATGCTGGGGTCAGGGTGCGGAGGTCAGAGGCCGTGGCCCTGGGGCTCAGGTCGCAGGAGAGGGCTGCCGCCTGGGGCTCAGCCTCCAGCACAGGAGCAGGAGCAGCCGGGGCCTCCTCAGCAGCAAAGCAGAAGGGGACCCAGTGCTCCCGCGACGCACGCAGGTGTCCCCGTACCTGTGACGCACCCCCAACCAGGCGCCTGGACGACGGGCGTTTATTCTCTGATGGTCCCGCGGGTCTGAGAAGGCGGCGGTGCG